CGGGTCTCAAAATAAATATGTTTGTATCATTTATTTTGATAATGGTACTATTTAATTAAATTAAATTATATAGTTAAATTTTAAATGTATGAATGTTTCAACTATAAAGTTTATAAATATATTATAAATACATGTTTTATTTTGATACTAATATTTATAATTGTTGATTTTATACTATAATATTAATAAACTTCATTTCTTTTCAATATATGTGATTCAACAATTCTAGAAATTTGTTTATCTTTTATTTTCTATTATGTGAGCGTAAAGTTGTTACATTAAGATAACAAATAATGTTAACTTGAATGTTAGAGGAAGCTAAGAAAAATAATGATAAGAATTTGAAATTGAAAAAATATGTTATGCCTAAAATCTCTCAACCTTGCAGTGAAAATGGATTAGGTATAAAAACTAAATTAGAAGCTGGTAATGACACTATTCCTGTTTCTAATTTAGATTTGCAATGTAAAGCCATTGTTCAACCTCAAATTAGTGATGAACTAATAAGTTATAATCAAGTTACAGAAGATTAACTTAAAACTATAGAAAATAATAAAATATCTTATTTAGGAAATGAAAAAGATAATAAACCAATGGCTATAGATGAAAGAGTAAATTTAAAATCAATAGTAGGTGAAATTTTTCCTGGTACAGGACCATGGAATATTCTTAATAAAAAACATAGTGATGGCAGTGTTAGTGGAAGTAACAGTGATAGTTCTTCTAAAAGTACTTCTTTTATTTTTGATGAATAAAAAAAAAATTCTAGAAAATTTGACTCTGACGAACGTTCAACATTTAAGAAGCAAAAAAACTTTAGACGAAATGAGAAAGATATCACCAAGGGATGTTGTAATTGGAAGAATAATAAAAATTGGAATACAAGACCACATAATGGACTTAGATTTATTCAAAATAGAGTAGAACCATGGTCAAGAGGACCTTGGCCTAATTATTCACATTTTTCTAGGGCTCTAGTGCCACCTCTAATGTATGAAGTACCAAGACCTACTGCTCCATTTGAAATACCTGATTGGACTGTACCTGTTATTCCCCTTCAGATCCTGTAATATTAGATATGATATCTAACGATCTTAACCAAACAATTAACATTGATAGAGATTCTAGAGAAATACGATTTTATGGTCCCACTGTAATTACTTTTGTTTCATGGGATGATCCTAGAAAAATATATTTTCAAGGACCTCCAAGAAATGTGACATTTGATGACCTTTTTCAGTTGTTTGTCATTTTAATGCGCCTGATAGAGAATTTCTATTAGATGGCCAACCTCATAGAGTATGTTTGGGGTAAATTTACTTGAACTGTAATTTCTATGAATGCTTTTTTGACAGTCCTTCAATATACACTGAACTTGGAGCAGTTAAAAGATCTATTAAATTGGAAGAGCTTCCTCCTTCTGTTAATATTGGTACTACAAACAATTAGATTTAGTTGCTGGATGAATTGCTATTATAATTGATAACAACTTTACAGTACCAGTTTACTTAGATGCTAAACCACAAAGAACTGATGTAGGAAACCTATTGAGAGCATTGATTAATGATCAGCTATTTAAGGTTAATTATAATGGACCCTCCACAGACAATAACTGTTAGGGGGAAAAAACATTATTTGAGATTTACAGGATTGTCACAAAATATTAGACCTGGTTATGATGCAATTTCTCAAATGATGAGTGTTGTACTAACTGAAGATACTGCTGCTGAAACTTTACCACCACCACCAGCTCCACCTATACCATCTAATTTTACTGGTTTTGATACGCCATTAACATTAGTGGAAGATATCAGCCAACCTCCACAATCATTTACTTTATCAACATGCTCTTTGATTACACATAAGATAATTAATGACATTTAATTAAGATTCATATTATATAAATCAGTGTTGAGAAGGAACTGGTTCCAAAAGGAACGGATTCCTGGAACGAGTTCTTTTTGAAGGAACGATGCTAGAAACTGCTTCCTTTTAAAATAAAGCAACGAGGAAAATGAACAAAATTCCATTTTTTAAGGAACGTGAACGGAAATTACAGTTCCTAAAAATTTGTAAAAACATGTTTTAGTGTAGTTTTCTTCGTATCTATACATTAAAATATTAAGGTATTTTTAGTTGACTTTTGACAATGGAAGTCCCCTATACAGAGTGGCCCACCACTCACTGACAACTTAAATAACTTTTGATCCAGTTAATATTTTTAGCTGATTTTTTTTTTAAATAATAGTTATACGTTAGGTCTATAGCTATATCTCAATAATTAATTTTTTTACATTTTATTAAAAATATTAATTATTTTTAAATTTTAAATAAAATGTAAAAAAAAAATCTAAGATAGCTATTTTGTAGAGTAGAATTTAAGAAAAATTTTAGTAAAAAAATATCTTAAAAATATTCAATAGTAAATATTCTGTAGCGTTTTGAAGTTTGTGAAAATTTGAATTTTCATGTATTATTTTACGGTATTAAACATTGAAATACGTATTGAGAAAAGGACAGAAGAAAACGCTATCTTTTCATGATTACTGTGTATACATATGATGATAATGTGTATACATTACAAACTTGGCATTAATACCATGATAAGAAATTAGATAAGGCAATTATTACTTATCACTCTCATTCAAAAGTATATTGAAAAGATAGCGTTTTCTTCTGTCCTTTTCTCAATACGTATTTCAATGTTTAATACCGTAAAATAATACATGAAAATTCAAATTTTCACAAACTTCAAAACGCTACAGAATATTTACTACTGAATATTAATAAGATATTTTTTTACTAAAATTTTTCTTAAATTCTACTCTACAAAATAGCTATCTTAGATTTTTTTTTTACATTTTATTTAAAATTTAAAAATAATTAATATTTTTAATAAAATGTAAAAAAATTAATTATTGAGATATAGCTATAGACCTAACGTATAACTATTATTTAAAAAAAAAATCAGCTAAAAATATTAACTGGATCAAAAGTTATTAAAGTTGTCAGTGAGTGGTGGGCCACTCTGTATACCCAGCCGAGATCGTAAGCTGTTTAAATGAATCAATTGACTATAAATAGAGTTATTATCACATGTAGGTATACAGTAAATATTTAATATATGTGTACATATATTAAATAATGCACCGAATATTATCGTCGTTTCTTGTTAACTAATTTATGTTAAAGGTTTTGGGTTTTCTGATTTATTATTTCTAACTTAAATGTAGACAATAGACATTGGTCGCGTTGACACAAGTCGTTAGCATTTACTACCTGCTTATAAATATAATTTTCGAATACTTTTAGATAAGGAATACTACAAATTTGTTTTGTATTCGACTGCTGATGAAAATCATTGATGACCGTTATCATGATCTCATTGCCACAATTTTTTAAATAACTTGGTTACATAAAAGGAACAAAGAGTGGAACGAGTTCTTATTTTGGAGGAACTGGATCTGGAACAAGTTCCTTCTTAATATAAAGAACTAGGATCTGGAACGAGTTCATATTTTAGAAAATGAACGGGGAACGGAACGAGTTCCATTTAAAAAGGAACTTTCCCAACACTGTATATTTTTAGAAAATAAGAGAAGAGAAAATTTGTTAACGGAATGAAGCCAATGAATAATAATATCTTTGACAATGTAGAAATTCCAGAAACTATGGAGATAATTCATTCAACTACTGAATGCAGCTATTAAAATGAATAAAAATATCTTTGACAATGTAGAAATTCCAGAAACTATGGAGATAATTCATTCAACTACTGAAGTATTATTACCAAAAGTTAATATACATGTAAAATACAAATACAGGTAGCTAATTGATTTTTTATGACATCGATATTAGCAGGTACACAGCATTTTTATTATCAATGGTAGTAAGGCACATTGTTGTGAGTTTATAAATACATTAACTGACAATACAGAAAGTATATCTATTGATAGTCATAATTGAAATAAACCATCCGTGTCTGTGACTGCAATGTCATAAAAATCCAATTAGCTACCTGTATTTATAATCTTTTGTGTATTATACATGTTTATATCTAATAAATTAATAAAGTTATACTAAAAATTCAAATGCCATTTACTATTGAATTAAAAATCGAAACATTTTATTAAATTCAAAATATGTGTAAAAAATAAAGTTGACACCCTTACAAGGCATAAGGGATAAACATAAAAAGTTTTAAATAGTTAATAATTCAAGAATAATGTGTAACTAAAGAAAACCAAAAAAAAAAAAAAATGTTTAAATTATATTTATTCTGCAAGTAATTGAGTGGGTTATGATAAAAAATATCACTCTGTATATATATACATTTTTGAATTTTGTAAATTTATAATTTAAAGTGAAATTATGATATATACATATAAGATAAGAAAATATTTATGTAAATATTGCAGTATACATAATAGCTTTAGTTCCCTCTGTTGTTTTTTTTTACCAAAAATAAATTATACATTTTTATATTTATATATTACTTTTTGTCCAACAAAATAATTTCCTTGCAGATACATAAAATCATAGTTAAATTTTTTTTTTAATCAAACAATGAATTTTTCACTTTACAGAGTATAATTAACAGCATCATCTTAATATCATTAGCATTGAAAATATTTATAGTACTGTGTAATATGTAAAATAAAAATTAACAATTCTTAGATCAAGATCAAAGTCATGAATTAATTAAATAAATTAAGTTATATTTTAAGAGCTTATTCAATTTTAAGTTATTTAATTGGATAAAAAGTATTATGATGATTAGTTATAATAAAAATAATTTTACCATTAAAAAGTGTTTTTTTTTATTTTATGTGTATCATCTTTTTTAATTATCAAGTATACATAAGTTATGATTACTAAAGGTTTGTATGATAAAAAAATTAACTTATAAAATTATTTCAAGGAATATGTCTATTATTAAACCTTCAGGCAATCAACATAATATGTAATAGCTGTTTAATGTAAAAATAAGAATAGCAAGTTTGTCATATAATAATTCTTTATTTCATTATTGTAATTTTATAACTTTGAACTTTATTAATAAATTAGCTATAAAAATTTGGAATTGTATTGAAATTAATCTAATTAAGTTTTACAGTTATGTGGGTAGCGAGGAAATGCAATGGTGTCTTTAATATTTTGAATATTTAACAACACTTGAAGAAAACGTTCAAAACCTATACCAAATCCAGCAGTTGATACATTACCAAATTTTCTTAGTTCTAAATACCAGTCTAATTTTTTCTGAAGTCCAATATTTGATAACTTTTCTTCTAAAACATTATAATTATCTTCGCGTACACTCCCACCACATAACTCACCAACATTTGGACATAGAAGATCTACAGCTGATACCTATATATTAAAACTAGTTAAATCTCTTTTTGTATAAATTTAAAAGAAAAAGACTTACTAGTGAATCATTATTAGGTAATGCTTTTGCATAAAATGGCTTTAAATCTTGTGGCCAGTCAATTATGAAAATTGGTTTTTGGCCATTATATTGAACTAAAAATAATTCATGTTCTTTAGTTAATGGTTTGCCTCTTATAACAGGTTTAGTGAAGTTTTTTTGCTTTTCAAGAACATTACATGCTTTTTCATAACTAATAACTTCATATGGGGTTTTCATTATATTGTTTATATCATATTCATTTGAACTAGTATTAACTTTTCTAATAATATTTATTTCTTCACTACATTCATCTAATAATTTTTTTATTACAACTGAAGTGGTCTTTTCTATAACACTTAAAAGTTCTTCTATGTTGTTAATAAAAGCTTGTTCAGCTTCAATCATATAAAATTCAGATAGATGTAATCTAGACTTAGAGTTTTCTGCCCTGAAAGTTGGTCCTATGGTGAAAACTTTAGTTAGGGATCGAGCTATACATTCTAAATGTAGTTGCCCAGAGACAGTTAAATAAGTCTGGTTATTAAAAAATACTTCAAATGGACATTGATGTTTATGTGAAGCCATACTTTTAATTAAATTTTTATTTTCTGGTTTAACAATAAACAATTCACCAGCTCCTTCACAATCATTAGATGACAGTACAGGTACATTGACTTCTATAAAACCATCCTCAGAAAATCTATATCGAGTTGCTATGGATAATTGGTTTCGTAAACGTAATAAACTACTGAAAGAAGCTGTTTGTGGTCTCATGTGTAAATATTGACGTACATAATCAGACTGGTAAATTTTTCGGGGTGCAAATGGATATCCTTCCTGAATAGGACATTGACCATGAACAGTAATAAAATCAGCAGTTATTTCAAGTTGATTATTGGTATTATTGACTAACGTACCATGAGCTTCAAATGAAGATCCATATGAAAGTGTATCTGCAATTTTATTCTTAGGTATTACTATTTGTAATCGTTGATATGTAGATCCATCATCTAAGTCTACAAAAATGTTGTCTTTCATTTTACGTATTGCTCGAGCCCATCCCTATAACAATATATCCATTAAATAGAAAATAAAATAGTAGAAATGAAAAGCGACTTTTGAAAATTACTAACACAGGTATTTTTAATATATTAAAATTAATCAATGTACATTTTTTTATTGAAATAAACTTGTATGCTAAAAAAATATATATAACAATGAAGCTAATTTTAAAAATCCTGAATTCTTACTGGCTAATAGTGTTAAAAGATATTGCATTTTTAGACATTTTTGCAGATTTGTGAATTATTTATATTTTTTGTATCCCTTAAGACTTTGATTTAATTGCATATGAAGGTATATCAAAGGTTTCACTGGAGGATTTAACGTGAATGCGACTATTTATTTATGCTTAATTCCAATCAATGAGATCAATGAATTTAAATAATTATATATTATTAGTAGTCTTAATAGCCATAATAAACAGATAATATGAGTTATTAGAAAATTACCACGAGGAAAATAATAAGATTAATTATTACCTTCATTAAAAATTTACAACCAACCCGTCGAGTTTTTATAATATCTTTTACTGAAATACTAGAATAAAATCTACTATTGGGAATTTGTTTTAATACGTTGAACATGTTGGTATAGGGATTGGAAAAGAGAATACGTTAAATGAAAATGTTATACTTTAGGAAATTTTTTCAAAATAATAGTGATTAATTAGGACTTTATTTTAAATTAATAAAAAAAAGTTTCTTTATTATTTCTTAAATCAATATTTTGATTAATACAAACTATATTATTAAATAGAATTCAAATTTTTATCGCCTATCAAATATTTTATTTAAACATAACCTTAAATTTATGATAACTCAATTGGATAAGGTTCGGTAGTATTTTTATAATTTACTCTGAGACATAGTAAATTTAAAAATAAGCAAAGATTTTGTAGACTTTAGCCCGTCCGAAATATAATGAAATGTATTCTTAGATCATTTTGAATTTTGATTTAATTTGTTTGACATTTTTTAACTATCAGGGTTCATATAACCAATATTTTGTGGTAGTTATAAAACGTGATAAAAGCAAAATTTAATGAAACATAATATAAATAAATATTTGAAGAATTGATAACATTGATTAGTAATAATTGTATTTAAAATCTTAGAGATACAATTATAATTGACACATAATTGTAGAGAGGCTACAATTATCGGTTGCTTATAAAGTTTTGTAGGTGTAAAAAATGCTGATAATTTAATAAATAACTTCATTAATATTTGATGATGTGTTTTTTAAATACATGTTTGTATTTTCATTTTTTATAAATTATAGTTTTAAATGAAATATAGTACAATTTTTACTTCTTAATAATAAAACACAGCTAAGATTGGCTACTGATAATTACTTTGACTGACACTTTATCCAACATGGATGTACTTGATGAACTGACATTGCCAGATAAACAACCATGTATTGAAGCCCAGCCGTGTTCAATATTATATCAAGCTGATTTTGATACTAACTTTGAAGACTGCAATGGTTTTGTAACTGGTATTGCCAAGTACATCAAAAAGCTACTATGCACACTAGTCTTGTAAGGATTGAATTATTTTATTTTATTTAAATAATATAAATTATGTGTGGTATTAATTTTAATAATAAAATGGATTATTAAACTTTTTTATGATGTTCTAAAATTTCAATTGTCATAAATTAATAAAAGAAATATTTTGGTTTGAATACCGATCGGTTTGAAGTAATCGGTTTAAAATTGATAATTTATTATATATATTAGATAAAACTTAAATTTTTATTAAATTTAGAATTTCTAATTTTTAATCTATGACTAATAATTTACTTATTGTAATATTTCATTCTATTTATTTTTAAGGATGAGTTATTAGATAAAAGCCAAGTATATGCTGTTAAGTTATATACATGGCGGTGCTGCTTTCGTGATATTTCACAACCAAAATAATAAACAACCTAATCGTGTTGAAATTTATGAAAAAACTGTTGAAGTTCTAGGTCTTGAAGTTATTAAGCTTCTTCAGTTTATGTATTTTCAGGAAAGAAAAATGTATTTTAGATAGATCAAAGGATTAATTTGAATAATATGTTTATATTATAGTATCTTAATTTTAGTATTCAGATATAGGTATATTTATTTTGTATATTTTATTTAACAATATTCTTAATATTCATCTTTTTTGAAACAATTGAAGTGTGATTGAACACAAGTTTGGCATACAAATTGTTTCAATTTCTTAATTGTTCATAATTGAAAAATAGATCTTAGTTAACTAGTTCTTTGACTAGTCCAATTATTCATAAACTCATCCATTTAATTAATTTTTTGGCTTGTTATTATTTAGGGTAAACTTAAAACTAAACTTATAATCAAAACAGTTTCACGAAAAAATAATTATTTAACTATAAATTAGTTTCATTACTTTTAATAATGTATCCTGAAGGTATATAATGATTAATTTATATTACATTTTAACATTTTCTTTTTAGCGTAAAGCAATAGAATGATTTTGTGCAGAAGTTAAACGATTATATCATGCTGAAAAACGGAAATATTTTGTATCAGAAGCATATCTTTTAACTCTAGGAAAGTTTATTAATATTTTTGCTGTACTTGATGAACAAAAAAATATGAAATCTAGTGTTAAAAATGACTACTTCAGAAATGTTTTAATCAAAAATTGTTGGTCAAAGTAAATATTCATTTGAATTTTGTTTAGTTCATTACAATTACATAATGAACATGGAACTATAATAATTTTAGGTTAAGGATTTTGGATTATTAAATAATCCAAAATAATGAATATGAATAATAAATAATAAAATAATAATTCTTATGAATAATGAACTATGCAATATTAATAAGTTGGATCACAAAAAAAACTAAACTCGGAAAAAATTGATTGGATTTTTTAATTATTAAGTCTTTTGCTAATTGTTTAAAGTCAATACATTTTCTTTTATAATATTATAAATTATAGTTTTAATTAAAATTTTAAATGATTATATGAATATTAATAAAAAATTATTTTGATTTAGAACCTTGAAGTTGTGCCTTTATTTGGAGACATGCAAATAGCACCATTTAATTACATTAAACGTTCAAAACATTTTGAACCCAAAAGATGGCCATTGTCAAGTTCTCCTCAAATAAGTCCATAAGCTGATTTCATGGTACATTTACCTCTAAATCTAAACCATTATGGTTTTTCACACATTAAAGGACAATAAAAAAAATTATTACAAATTTTTTTTTCATTACCCTTTAGTTATATTTATAGTGTCATGATGATAATTTATGCAAATTTTTTAATTATTCCATAAAGTTTAACCCATCCTATGAACTTTTATAGTTCAGTTTTACATTATTTTTAAAAATGGTAGAGTTATAGTATTCTCTATAACTGTTTTTTTTATTCGTGTTTATGTTGTTATTATTCATTTTAACTATGGGAAGTATTATGAGGATTCAAAAAAATATTAAAATATTATTACTGCGTTACTTTTAAATGATATAATCGCTACAAATGTGAAAAAAAAACTTAATAATCAAAAAAATTATTTTGAAATAGCCTTTAAATTTTTTTTTTTGTAAATAGTGTTTACAGTTTTATTTACAATTAAAGTTCACACGTAGTCACTAATCATAGCTTGTTCCATTTTCCTTGGTATATTTTTCATTTGAGGTGATATCTTGATTGATAGTATGTTGTAATATGACTAATTTTAATGTTTTTTAGCTTCGATGCGAAGCGGAGAAGGTATTAATTTTACTATGATGTGTTTTTTTTTTTTTTATGTCTGTTGCCACTTTTTCTCAGCTCTCACTGGACCGATTTCTTTCAAAAATACCTCAAAAGATCATAAATCGTATCTAGTTCAAGACATTACCCTTAAAAATTGAAAAAAATTCCCTCGTTTCCAGCAAATGGGGGAAATACCCAAAAAAATTACAAATTTAAAAATCGCTAATTTTCGAAATTTTTTCACTTTTTTTTCTTAAAACTTCCATAATTTTTTGAAAAATCAACAAATCAACATAATTTTTTTTTATACTAAAACCTTAGATATCTACCTTTCATTTGATATCATTTTTTTGAAAATTTAACATTTAACCTGCTCACAGGGGCGATTTAGAATAGTAACTTTTTTACAAAAACTAACTTTTTCAAATGAATTTTTGAAAATGTTCCGGAAATACTGCGTCCTTCAAACATATATCAAATTAAAGCTTATTTTATGTACTATAAAATGAAAAAAAAAATTTGTCCCGACACTTTTTCTTCTACATTTAAACGGCTGCCGTAGTTAAAAAAACACTATTTTTGTGTTAAAATTTTCGATTTTCGATTTTAAATTTTCAACTTAAAAATGCTATAACTTTTTGAAAAATGTATATATCAGCACAAATTTTTTTTTTCTAAATACATTATAAGTACATCTTTCATTTGACATACTTTTTATTAAAATTGGACAATTTCCCCTTATATAGGGGGCGTTCAAAACTTAAAATATTGTAAAAAACATAGATCTTTTTCAACTGAACTTTTGAAAATGTTCCGGAAATACTGCGTCCTTTAAACATATATCAAATCAAAGATTATGTTATATACTATCAAATGAAAAAAAAAAATTTGTCCCGACATCTTATCTTCTATGTGCAAATGGCTGTCGAAAATTTAAAAAAAAATGTAATGTTTGCGATAAAAATTACATTTTATCGGGATGTTTTTTGTACTTAAAACTGCCATAACTTTTTCAAAAATGAACAAATAAAAATAATATTTTTTTGTATTGAAACCTTAGATATTTCCCTTTCATTTGATATAATTTTTTTTGAAAATCTAACACTTATTCTGCTCACTGGGAGGATTTAAAATAGTAACTTTTTTACAAAAAATAACTTTTTCAACTTAATTTTTGAAAATGTTCCGGAAATACTGCGTCCTTTAAACATATATAAAATTAAAGCTTATTTTATGTACTACAAAATGAAAAAAAAAAATTTGTCCCGACGATCTATCTTCTATACGCAAATGGCTACCATATTGAAAAATATACTATTTTTGTATGATAATTATGGGTTTTGTATTTTATTTTAATAGAAGTTGATGTTGCTTTTGCAATTATCCATCAATTTTTTAAAATTAAACACTATCTACAGATTTGCATCGAAGCGTTTCTTATGATAGTGATTTTAATCACTGTCAGATTAAATCTATACTGAACCCAACTATGCAATGTCTCCACTATGCCGCGACCCCACTGTGCTACCGTTTATTTTTTTTACTATAATTAATTAAAAATTTAAATTTTTTTAAATATAATTTTACATTGTGTATTCTACTACAATATATATACATAAATAAAAACACTGTAATCTTACAAATACTTAAATTATGGTTAAAATATTGAAAGTAGAGAAAATTAATGACATATTCAGAATCGACATTCAAAAATCCAAATTTAGTGTAGCTGTGCAAGTTATCTAACAAGTAAATTTATATCTGTATAGCTACATATACCTATTAAATTTTTTTATGACTTCTTTTATATCTTTGAAATAACCCATATAAAAGTTATGTTTGTAAATTATTTAAATTTTTAATAATAATTTAATGTTATGATCAGTTTTTAAAATTGAATTTCCCATCCCTCTCTCCCTGGCAACGGATTAACCACCCGTCCTGGAGTATTAATGGTTAAGTAACCTCCATCTCTAGGAGAGGCTACTATGGTCCTTAATGGACTCAAAAAGCAATAAAAATAAATAAATGTAATGTTTTAGGTTTATCATCTACTCAACTTTACATGGTGAGAACTACGTTGGAATCATAATAAATTGATTATAAATATTTAGAATCCTTATAAGAATGTTGTGATTTATCACAGTTATGGTATCGTGAATTTTATTTAGAAATGATCATGGCCAGATGAATTCAAAAATGTACTGTCAAACATCAGAATAATGAAGAATTCAGTGATCTTATTACTATATAAAACAGAAGCTCCTTATGGTCGTATTACCGTATATGTTTTTAAATTATGATTTTTTGCCGATATATTGTTATAATGATGCTACAAACCGTTTTGTGAAGTGTAAAGGTTTGAATTTCACACAAGATGTTCATAGAGACAAACCTCCACAAATGGGTCATCAATATTTGTGGGAAAGTAAACAATTGAAACTTGCATACACTGCTACTTATGGACAATATAATGGTATCTCTTTAGATAAAATAAATGTATGTAAATTAAGTTATAAATTATTTATTCTTTTAGGGTTTATTGGAAAACCTCATTTTCGAACTTTGTGTAAGATGCTCGGTTATCAAGGCTTTGCAGTAGTAATGGAAGAGTTGTTAAAAATTGTAAAATCGTTAATTCAAAGAAATCTTGAAAAAAGGAAAAGGAAATTTGCAAAGACATTAATGGAAGCCATGCCTAGACAATGCGAATTACCTTGATATGATTATGGTTCAACTGGTGTATTAGGCTATTATCATGCTCAATTAAATGATATTGTTCAATATCCCGATGCCAAAATAGAATTATTCCATAATTTTTGTGAACTACAGTGACGAGCTAAAGTGAACACAATTTCCAACATTTTTGGAAAATTGGCATTTTTAAAACTAAATATAAATTCAATTTAATAAATTTTTGAATCCACATTCTAGGGATTAAAACAAAAGTTTACGCACAAAAAATAATTTAGAAAAAGATAATAGGCCTAAGAGTTCATTTATTTAAAAATACTCACGTATGCACCTGCTAAGTGTCTTTGACTTGTTATTGTTGGGGCGTCTGGAGAAAAGAAATTTTTCACTCTTGATTTGTTTACATTTCTTTCTATTACAAAGAAAATATGAAACTTCTAATTTAATCAGTATGAACCATTCTTTCGCAGTGAAAGGAATCAACATGAAAATTACTCCTCAAAAAATGACACAAATTGTTTCGATGCTAAAATCGGGTCAATCAATCAGAGAAGTGGCTCGACAGTGTGGGGTCAGTCAAGCAGCAGTGCAAAAAATAAAGGTTGTCCTAACGCTTCACTCCGACTAAAAGGAAGACCTAAGTGTACTATCCCATAAGATTGACGAAGACTTGCTCACTTTTTACAAGCAGGAGAAGCATCTTCATCTTCAATAGCAACCAATCTGTTGCAACAACATACGGATAAAAAAGTGAGCAAGTGGACAGCCTTGAGAGTTCTCAAGGAAAAAAATTTTGTGTGTGCCAAAAAAAAGAAAAAAACCGCAATTTCCAAAAAAATATGATGACCAGACTAAAGTTAGCTAAAGATCATAAACACTTGACAGAATAAGACTGGAGGAGGATAATATGGTCGGATGAAACCAAAATTAATATATACTGCTCTGACGGAAGGTCCTGGTTCTGGAAAAAGACTAGCGAGAGCCTCAAACCTTCCTATGTGAAGCAAACGATCAAACATGGTGGAGGTTCTGTCATGCTATGGGGCTGTTTTACTGCGTATGGACCTGAACCCATTCATAAAATTATATTTACTATGGATCAATATATGTATAAAAATATTCTATCAAGAAATTTGTCAGGTGTGGTTGCAAAAATGCCAATACCAATACCAAACGATGAAGTCATTTCCAACAGGATAATGACCCCAAGCATAGAAAGTTAAACTTATTTAATTTTTTTGCTTTTTGAAGTTGAGAAAAATAATTTTGAAATTTGAACTAGCTTAATAGCTANTCTCCATAAAGACAATTAAAATCATTAATTTCTAATGTTTTCAAAGTATTTATTGACGAATTAAGTTTGATATGATAGGTTTCAACTACAAAATTAAATCATTTTACTTTGTAATTTAATATTTTTTTTACTCTATTTATGTGTGCTACTACTAGACTATAATATTCCAAATTTTTTAGTAACATATTTCTATATAAATCATTTATAAAAAAAATTACTGTTTACTAAATAAAATTATTATTATTATATAATAACTTTGTTTTGATTGGTTAATATTTTTTTTAGCTTCGATGCGAAGCTGAGGAGGTATTGGTTTTAGTAAGTGTTTTTTTAGCTTCGATGCGAAGCTGAGAAGGTATTGGTTTTACTAAGATGTGTGTTTTTTTTTTTTTTTTTTT